CGCGAGGGGTGTGCCGACCTGGCTCGGCGCCGCCATGCGAATGCTGCCCCTTGAGCTTTCGCTGGGGCTCCTGCCTATGGGGCCACGATCCTCGTGAGGGGTGTGCCGAAATGGAGCGGGCCTCCCGTGCGAACGCTGCCACTGGGGCCTTTGTGAGGGGTGTGCCGAAATGGCCACTGGAGCCTGTGCTGGAATTCCTCTGGGGCCACGGTCCTCGTGAGGGGTGTGCCGAGAGGAGCAGGGCCGCCCTGCAAACCTTGCCCCTGGGGCGTTGGGTGGAGCTTCCTAAGCGGCTACGATCCTTGTGAGGGGCGTGCCGAAAAAAGGCTCGAGGCCACCGTGCGAACGCTGCCACTGGGGTCTTCGGTGCAGCGTCCGCTGGGGCCACGATCCTCGTGAGGGGTGCGCCACAATGAAACGGGGCCGCCAGGCGAACGCTGCCACTGGAGCGTTCGGTGGGGCCCTCTATGGGGCCACGATCCTCGTGAGGGGTGTGCCGACCTGGCCCGGGCTCGCCATGCGAACGCAGCCACTGGGGCCTTCTGTGGAGTTTCATTTGCGGCTGCGATCCTCGTGAGGGGTGTGCCGAAAGGGGGCGGGACCGCCATGCGAGCGCTGCCGCAGGATCCGTCGGTGGAGCTCCCCCTGGGGCCACCATCCTTCTTGGAGGGGTGTGCCGGGATGGGGCGAGGCTGCCCTGCGAACGCTATCACTGGGGGCTTGGGTGAAGCTCCCGATGGGGCGACGATCCTCGTGAGGGAGGTGCCTACGTGCGGCCAGGCCGCCAGGCGAACGCTGCCACGGGAGCTTTTTGTGGAGCTTCCCCTGGGGCCACGATCCTCGTGAGGGGTGTGCCGAAAGGGGGCGGGGCCACCATGCGAACGCAGCCGCTGGGGCCTCCGGTGGAGTTCCCTATGGGGCCTCGCAACGCGGTGCTGGGTGGGTGAAACGCAGGGGGGAGGGGGGAGGAGGGGAGGAGGAGAGGAGAGGAGAGGAGGAGAAGGAACGTGGAGCGTCTCTTCAGAACGAGGACCCAACACTACAGGAGGGTTGGGAAAAAGAAAAGCTTGACGTGCTTGGGTGGTTTCCGGCCACTCCGCCCTCCCCCCCCTCCCCCCCCTCTCCCCCTCCCCCAGCTCTTCTTCTAAAGTGTCGGCCGTGCGCGTCTGCTGCCCTGCTGCCTTTTATTTTGTGTTGCGCGCGAGACCGCGGGGCCCAACTTGTGCGAGTGGGTTGTGGTGTTGGAAGCCATACCTTGTTAGAAATTCGAGACAAATCAGTTGACTGTTCTACGCGGGTTCTGTGGCGCCAGCAAATCTGGCGCCCTACTCGGGCCGACTGAGGCCGCTTCTTCCCGGCGCTTCGCCGCCCTGGCCCGTGGCCAGGCCCCCGCCGACGCCAGGCAGGCAGCACATCGTGTCGACACTGGCAAGGAGGCCCCGCTGCGAAAGCGGCCCGCGGCGGCGCTGGCGTGCCGGCGCCCTCCCAGAAACGAGTAAGCGGCGGAGGCGAGCGGTGTCGCATCTCGGGCATGCCCGCGGCATTGAGGTACCGAGCGTAAGCCTTGCGGAGCTCGCTGCACCAAGTGTCCTCGGGGGTTGTTGGGTATTGTCTCCCTGGCCTCTCCAGCCAGATTCCGCGGCATCTATGACAGACCTCCTGCGCCCACCTCGCCGCAAGCAGAACGCCTTGCAGAATTTGCCCAGGCATCTCGTTTTGTTCCTGAGGCGCAGCGCCGGGCCGCGGCCACTCGGGACCAGCTGGGCCACATGATTTGAAGACGTTGCCTGATCGTGTCGCTCAGTGGAAATGTCCGCTCTGCTCTTTCATACCGCAGCGGCGGGGTCCGGAGCGCCGCGCGCGGTCGCGCGCTGGCCCAGTGCCCCCTCGCGCGCGGCCCGCTCAGGTCGCAGCCGGCCCTGCCATCGCGGGCAAGGGCCACGGGGCTGGCTCCGTCGCGGGCAGGGTCTTTCACTTCCGTCGTGGGCCAGCCCGGGCGACGCAGCAGGCAACGGCGCACTGGCCCCGTGGCCTGCGCTGCCCCTTCCTGGCGCGCACCTTGGGGAGGAACGAGGCCACCCCCCTGCCCCCACCCGGCCGCCGATGGCTCGGAGACGGGAAACGGCAGTGGAGGGGAAAGGGAGGGGCGGAAGGCACCAGAGGGTGGCCAGGCAAGGGGGGGCGGAGCGGCTGCTGCCCCAGACGCGCGGTGCTCGGCGGCTGCACCAGGCTCCTCGGGCTCACAGACCGAGGCCTGTCCGTGCGTCACGCGGCCTCCCTGTGGCAGAACGCGTCCGGGCCGATCGACTCAGGCAGGGCGCGCGCCACGAAGAGCACGTGGTGCCATCTCTGTTCGGGCGGCGGCCCGTCACGGAAGAGCTGGTGCATATACGCGCCCGCCTGCGACAGCGCCGGGGGCAGGGCGCGCGTCTCCAACTCCGCGCGCCGCCTAGTCTGTCCGGGGCACCCGCAGAGCGCATGGGCTATATCGACCTGCAAGGCGCCGCGCGCAGCACAGCAGGCCAAGGTGACAGGGAGGGACGGCACGCCAAGCACAGGAAGGGGCCATGCCCCGGACAGGCGCGCCACGGCCTACATGCGGAACTCGCGCCATATAGGCGGCCCAAAGTCCAGACCGAGCATGCCCACTGGTAGCTCGTGGGGTTCAGGGACTAGCGCGGCATAGGACAGACCGAGCGCGGGCAGGCGGGCGCACGCGGTGCGCTGGAACGCCGCCAAGTCACGCGCCCTATTTGGGCCGGGCGGGCCACCTGGAGTTTAGAGTTTCGCAGCAAGGTTCGACGCAGCTCCTGCGAGCAGCGGGCGTTGCGCAGCGTGTGGCGGGACGCGGGGTGGACGTCAATGTCCAGGATTGGCGGCGCCTGCTCCGCCAGGCGGCACGCTACGACGCTTGCCCAGGTGGTGCACGCAAGGGAGCGCGCCAAGGAAAGCATGCGGGCGCCAGGGTGGTCAGCAGGCTGCGCTAGCAGGCGGGCGCGCGCCATGATTCACGCTCGAGCACCCACTTGCCCAAACGGCACGTCCAGCCGCATTGCACAACAGCCACCTCGGCAGGGGCGGGGGGCCCAGTGGCGCACGCGAGGGGCCGTCTGGCCCACGTGGCCTGCATGCTGTTCAATTCGTGTTCAGCGCGCTGGGCCAAGAGCACGAAGGGGTAGGGGTAAAGGATGGCAGCCTCGACCCGGAGAGGGACCTGCGCAGAAAGCACTGGGAGGCCGAATCCCCCGCTCTCCCCGGCGTAGAAGAGCGCCTCGAACATGCGTGACCACGGGCTAGAGTTGAGCGCAGCAAGGGTTGAAACGAGAGGTCGGCATCAAAGAGGGCGCCGAGGACTAACTTCTGGTCTACTACGGGGCAGCCCACCCAGCCTGGGTGTGGGCTCCGAGCCACGGCCGTGGCCGCCATCTTACCAGAGGCGTAGTTGAAGTCCGCTCGGACAGCACGCGCGAACCGACTGCATGCAGAGTCCGGCTCGGCGGAGAGGACGGCACGGAGAGCACCGGGGGACCGCCACGCAACGGACAGGTCGTCCGAGAACTGAAGCGGCTGCAGGTGGTCAGTGCGGAGTGCGACATGCACGGGGGCGCGGTCGGCTTCAGTCGGCCCCCCGCTCACCCACCCGGCCAGTTCCGCCGCGGCGCGTGGCCCCGGCGTGACCTCGCCGAGTGCTGTGGCAGACACCCCACCTGCGATGTCCGTGGCAGCAGCGAGGGAGGGGGGCGGGGGAGCCCGGAGGGGGCAGGGAGGGGCGGGGTCGGCGCCAACCGGGAAAGCGCGCCGGTACAACGCAGGGGCCCAGGCTGCGCAACCTTGCGGCAGGACTACCCTTACAGCATCAGCTAGCCATTTCACTTGGGCGTTGGACACAAACGCCGAAAACCGCTTACCCTGAGCTGTGCCGCACGGCAGCTGAAAGGGCTCAGAAGCCAGCCCACGAACTGAGTGTCCACGTGGATAAAGTCGTCGAGCAAAAGCCAATCGTCTTTGACCACACCGCCAAGGAAAGAGGACAGAAGCAGGGCGTCATGCGAAGCTACGTCAAAAGCCCATTGGAGGTCAGTGAGCGCCCAGTATGTGGGCAGCGCTTGGGCACCACGGAGCTGCGCGTGGAGTAGCAGCGCGAGCAGGACCAGCAGGGGGTTCCCGACCCCGCCCTGCTGGCCCGCACCACAATACCGGGTGAGCGTGGGGCGGTTGCGCTGTGTCCAGAGGGCGTCCACAACCGCAGACATGACCGTGGAGATCGAGATGGGTCGAAGGCAGGCGACAGCACGCACCAATCGGGGCCCTGATTGATGGAGCGGCGTAAACTGCCTCTCGGACCAGCACGTGCTGGTCAGTCCACACGACCTGGATAGATTCGCCAGGGCTAACGTGAGGCGCCTGCCCTGCGGGCAGGCAGACTTAACGGAGGCGTAGCAGCCACGGAGCGCGCTGGAGGTCACCTTGAACGACGCTAAAACGTCATCCAGCTCAGCCATGGTGTACAGGCGCCGACCCCTAGTGGTTTGGGCACCAGCGCGGGCCGCACCACTCTGGTGAACGGCTGAAGCTGCGCGCGTAGTGGCGAGGATGGCCGCTGGGTCTTGAGGGAAGCCATTGTTCGCCCTCGCTTGCAGGTCCTGCGCAAGGACCTGGAGCATGGCATCCGCGCTCAGGGCCTGGCCAGTGGCAGGGTCAGCGAGAGCGATTTCAAACCGATCTTGCGCATTAAAGAAGGAAGACAGATATCGCTCCGCGGCGCCTGGATTCGAGGCCCGAAGTTGAAGGAAATGCTGGGCCGCACCCCGTCGGGCATCCCAGGCCGCCTGCGTAGCTGCCCTCTTAAACGCTTGGTGGTCGGAAAAATCCGCTGGAGCCGGCCCAGCAGGCCGGCGTCGCTTGTGGGACGCCGCCGACGACACCGCTCGGGTGACCCCCGCTGCGTGGCCCACAAGGGTATATAGCGCGCCCCGCGACCACGCAGCCAGATCCAGCATCGCGCGTCGCTGGGCCACAGAAGCTTGGCCCCCGCTCCACGGGGGGCGGAGCCACGGCGCATGCACGCATAGCTCAACAGAGGGCGCTGCAACTTGGAGAAGCGGCGCCACCGCCTCGAGGGCATGATCCCACTGGGAATCGGTGCGCCAACTGACCCGACCGAACCCCGCGCGCGCGGAGCGGTCGCACTGGCACGCCAGCGACCAACACAGCAAGCGATGTGCAGAGCACATAGCCTAGGCCTCCTTGACAGTGACCGAGACCGCTTGGCCCGGGCCCGCGAGAACGAGATCGATGCACGTGCCTGAATCACGCGTGGGCACCAGCGGGTTGCATGCAAAAAGCCCGGCAGCGGAAGGCATCGCCTCGATGGTTCGGTCGTCCTGCGACTGGCGGCAGTGGCAGCAGCTGCAGCCAGGCTGGTGCATTAGGATGTCAGACAAGTGGATGTTCGCGTCCCCCGCGACGAGAAAAGAGGCATGCGGGGCGCGGCCCCGCAGCCTTGCTAGCGCGTCGAGGATCGCGCTCCACGTGGCCACGTCGCCCCCTGGCGCAGGGTAAACCGCTGCGAAAACGAGCGCTGGCCCAGGCACCTCGGCAGGGGCGCGCGCCGACGGCCAGACTTCAAACCACTGGGCGCGCGGAGAAGAAAAGTGCCGCAGAGGGCGGGCTGATGGGACTAATTCAGGTCTAAGGAAGATTCCGACAGCAGCCCAGGAGGCAGAACGTTCGCCGAGTCAGCAGTATGGGTATCCTGGCGGCAATGCCGCCCCTGGGGAAAGCGCGCTCCCAGGGTGATACAGATATCAATATCTTCATCGTGCAGAAGCTGGGCCATCGCCTGCAAGCGCCAATCTAGTAGCGCGTCCGTGCCCAGGCCAAGACCCTGACTCCGGATCCGCCCTACTTTGGGGAAATTCGTAAGTGGGGCTTGGAATCTTCGTCTTACTTGTCAAGCCCCGCTGATGCCAATTTCCGCCCTACTTTTCTGTTGCTGTTTCTGTGGATTTCCGCCCTATTTTATGTTGGGTGCAGCAATTTCCGGCATGCTTTTCGGCCTCTTATAGGTGGATTTCCGACGCAATTTGAAGTTGGAAAAAAGCCACAGTAGGGCGGATCCGGAGTCAGGGGGAGGCCAGTCCGGCCCAGATTTAAAACAGCCATACGCAAGATGTGCTGGTCGGCCTGGCCGTCGGACGGGGTCGTACTTCGCGACCAGCGGCCACAGGGATAGGCCCTGCGAGCGGTGAGATCACCGGCGCCGGGCTCAGCGCGGCAGGCTGCAAAGGGGGGGCGACCTCATGGCCAGAAAGGTGCGCAGAGGCCCAGCCTCGCCATTTCCCTCCGCGGCGAGCTGCAGCGGCGGTGTACCGCACGCGCTCGCGCAGACACGCACGTGCTGGCCCGATTTGCAGCTAGGGCCCATTGCTTTAATTCGTCCTGCATAAAAAGATCCTCGACGCGACGCTTGGGCAGCGGCGACGCTTTGGCGCGGCGCGCGAGGAAAAAAGCGCCCGGTCCAGCAGTCGCCCCATTGGACCCGACGCTTGCCTTTATTGTCTTGAGCTGCTTCCGTGCCCCGTCCAGCCTTGCAGCGCTGCTCCTCCGCGCTTGCGGCCCACGTACGCTCACATGGTGCAGCTATGTTGTTCCTTCCTTTGTGGCGCACACGTGTGACATCATACCTCACTGTGTCGACGTTTTGCGTTTATGCGCACAGCCGGCGCGTTCACCCGCACGTCCGACGCGCGTGCCTGCGACATCCCGACGACCCGGCGATCGTTGTTGATTGGGGGGTGCGGAGGGGGAGCTGTCGACCAGGGCCTCGCTGAGCCCAGGCAGGGGGCACCGTCCTGTACTCGCATGGTGCAGCTATGTTGTTCTCTCCTGCCCCACCTGTTTCCCTACTCTGTTGACTTGCGTCTAAGGCATGCTCGTTCGTTCGGGTCACATGACTCGTCACATACACGCGATGCGCATACTGGATGCAGACATGTTGGGTTAACCCAGCCTCACAATTCCATGTCATTTCGGTTGCTCCTTCTGGCGCCTCTCTCCAGCACATGGGGGTCAGGGGCCATCCCATTGCACGTTTTCATTACTACTGGTGCCATTCTGAGGGGTGCCGATTGTGCGTGTTTCCCCAGGTTCCCAAAGCATTGGTCCCCCACGACATCACCCCCTTTCTCCGCTCTGCGTTCGCGCCCCACCCCGCAGCCGCTGACGCCCGACACCCTTGCACCGCATTGCTTGACCTCGCTGGTGCCAGCTCGCGCCGGGAGGGCGGGGGGCGCATGTCTGCCGGCAGCAGCGGCGCCCCGCTGACGGCGCTGCGTGACCTGGTGAACCGCTGGATAGGCGTGGAAACCAAACGCCTGGAGCGGGGGGCGGCGCTCCGTGACGTGCTCGCCTTGCTCGCATGCGCGCCTACCGCGCATCTAGGTTTCTCGGGGCCAGAGGGAAAAAGCAGCGTCAGTTCCTTCGAAGAGGTGAGCCACGAGGAGAGGAAAGAGAGGAGAGCAGGAGGGCGGCACTGGACAAGGGCAAGGGCTATCCGCTCCGGCGGCGGGGGCGACGGGGACACGCACGCCCCCTCCCCCGCCGGCGACGCCGACGCCAGAGTGGGCACATGAGGAGGCCGCATGTATGACTGAGGGGCCGGACTCCGTCTGTTATAGAATTGGGCACCCATTGACACCGGACTCCGTCCGTTATAATCGCGTCGGGCTGCTCGACGAGGCAAGCGGGGGCGCGCGCGGGCATCGCGCTAGCTGCCATCGCCCGACGCTGACCGGGGCTGGCGCAGCAGCTCGCGTGCGCTGAGGCGCTGCACTGGGGCCGAGAGCAGCCCCGGCGCCGTGGCCTTCGGCTCGGGGCCCCTGATCTCCGTGGCCGGGCCAGAGAAGAGCAGCAGCTCTTCAATGTGCGTCTCGAAAAGAGGGCGCGTGGCATGCATGACTACCTTGCCCGTGCCCCTGTTCTGCACTTGCATGGGCAGAACTTGCTTGGGGGAATTGCAAAACGTGATGTCTAAGCCAGGCTGCGAGAAGTCGCTAGTCACGACAGCGCAAGGGGGCTCTGCAGTGATGTGTTTCGCCGCCGCTCCACGGCGCGTGCCAGACAAGACCGCCACTCCCATCGCCGTGGCGGCGTTGTGGGGCAGCACGAGGCGAAGAAGTCTGTGAGCCGCAAGCGGCCATCGCCTTGCTTCGGCCCGAAAAACTCACGCAGTTAGTACAGCCAGCCGAAGACCGCGTCGCTGAGCTCAGCCTCGCTCCCGAGAGTGGCGAACTGGCGCGGGTCAAGCGTCGCGCTGGTCGGGCCGGCGGGGCACGGCGTAGTCGGTGCGCTCGGGGGCTCCGCCGAGCTGTGCGCGGAGGCTGCAAATGGCTGCGACGACACATGCTGGGGCGCGGCCACTGGCGACGTGAGCAGCGGCGCCGGGGCTGGAGGAGACGCCTGCGGTGGAACCGACGCGCGCGGCAGGGGCGGCGACGGAGGGCCACAGAGTGCCCCTACAACAGCAGCAACGGCCTGACATTCGCGGACGCGTTCTGCCTCGCATGCCTCAACGCGCTCCTGGAGTAACGCGGCGCGTGCCGCATACTGAGCAAGCTCTGGAGGCTGGGCGGTTTGCGCGACGCCAGAGGCGCGGTTTAACCGCGCCCTCCCGCCCCCCGCGCCGACCAGCTCTTCCCAGCCCGCACGGGCTGCATGCAACTGCGCAAGCTCCTGCCGCAAGGCGGGCAACTCACTGGCGTGGTCCCATCACGGTGCTGGCAGCGGACAACGGAGCGAGAACGGGCGGGGCCGCTTTGGCAAGGGGCACTGTTGGCCCGCTGGCCGCAGCGGGAGCTGGCGGCGCCGGGCGTGGCGCGCGGGCTGAGACTGCAGGGCCCAAGATCGGCAGTGCAGGGCCCGCGCCCGGGTGGTCCCAGCGGCTCTCCCCCGTGCGCCTGTTCTGAAAGAACAGTGCCCCAGAGGGCGCGCGTTGGGATTCCCATCCCGGCGGCGGCGGCGGCGACAAGTCCGGAGGGCCAGGGGACTTCGCCTCAGGGGTGGCCCGGACCCGCCTCTCCGGCGAGTGAGCTGCGTTGGCCGGCGGTGGTGGCGGGGGTGGCGGCGGCGGCGTTGTAGGCGCCGCGCCGAGCCACTCCGCCGGTGGAGAAACCTCCGGGCCGCGCGCCGAGGGCGCCGGGGACAGAAGAGTCCGCGCCTTCGGCGCCGCCCCCGGGAAAGCGCTGAAGTCCCGGGGGGGGCCGTCGATTGGGCGCGGGGTGGCTGGCAGGGACTGGGGCATGGCGCTCAGCTCCGCTGACGAGCCGCGGTCTGGCGTGCCCGCCACGGACGTCGGGCTACACGGCTGCTCCTCCTCTAGCTGTTCAAGGACAGGCCGCTTAGGGGACCTCGACCTGCGGCGCCTGCGGTCCCGGCGGCCGCGGTCCCGGTCCCGGTCCTGGTCTCGGTCCCGGTCCCGGCCCCGGTCGTGGCCCCGGTCGCGGTCGCGGCCGCGGTCCCGGTCACGACTGCGGTTCCGCTCGCGGCCCAGGTCGTGGTTGCGCTCCGCCGGCATCGTAAGGGCCGAGGGTGCGGGCTGCAGGCTCCGGGGCCGGGCAAGAAACGTGCGGCGCGCGGCGTGGCAGGCTCTTGAGCACGAGAGCGGCTGAGGCGAAGCAGGGAGGGTGGTGGGAAGCCAAACGCGAAAGATCACCCAGCTGTACGGATCTCTAGCAAGGTACGAGGCAAATGACAGGGAAAAGCGGGAAGCGACAGCGACGACGACGACGACGACGACGACGCCCGCCCCCTCCCAGGACAGCCAAGTTCTGCCCGACAGACGGCCGGCGGCCAAAGAAGGCGCAAGATGAAGGCCGAGTGCGAGGGCCAAATTGACACAGCACGGCAAGGGCGCCCACGGCACGGCACGGCGGCCACGGCACCGACACGAAGGGCACGACACGGCAAGACGGCGGCCAGGCACAACGCTGACCACCGCGCG